TATTTATATTTATTTGTATTTTTAACTCATTTTTCTGTGACTTTTAATATTTAAATAATGTTTAATATTGTACTGCTTTTAATAATTTGTAAGCTTCCTCGGGGAGCCAGATGGTGTAGTGGTTTGAATGCTGGACTGTGACTCTGGAGACCAGGGCGCAAATCCCTGCTCAGCCATGGAAACTCACTGGGTGACCCACTCTCTCAGCCTCAGGGAAAGCAAAGGCAAACCCCCTCTGAATAAATCTTGCCAAGAAAAACCCATGATAGGTTTGTCTGAGGGTCATCAAGAGTCAGAAACTACTTGAATGCACATAACAAGAAGCCAGCTTGAGTCCCACTATTGAGAAAAAGATGGGGTTTGAATCAACAATAACAATAATGAGGTGCATAAAAGGACAAAGAAAATCAAGCTGCATATACATAGGTACCCACTGCACACACACACAAGCTAAGAGAGGTATACAAGCAGGTTGCTAAGACAGGACTTTAACATCTGGAGTCCATTCCCAGCCTTCTTGTCTTTTCCCAGCTTATCTTTCAAAAAAAAATCTGACAATGTCACTAATACTGTACAAACTAACCCTTTCTCTGACACTGGACAGCTATTCAAATTTGGCCATGATGCTAAGAAGGATGGTGACAGAAGCCAAACTCACAACAGTCACATTGCCAGAAGCCTCTTAGAGAACCATAGTGGTCCAAAACAACTTTTCATAGAATGATGGTGTAGGAAGGGGCCACAAAGGCTATCTAGTCTAACTCCCTGCCAACCACAACTAAAGCACTCCTTAAAGATGCCCATCTAATCTCTCTTTAAAAGACCTCCAAAGAAGAAGAGTCAACTACCCTTTAACAGCTCTTACCATTAAGACATTCTTCCTAATGTTGAAGTGGAATTTCTTTTCCTCTACTTTGAATCCATTGCTCCTGGTCCTGTGCCATGGAGAAAACAAATTTGCTCCATCTTCTATATGGCATCCTTTCAAATATTTAAACATGGTTATCTTGTCACCTCTTAACCTTCTCTTCTCCAGGCTAAACATGCCCATTTCTCTAAGCCACTCCTTATAGGTCTTGGCGGTTTCCAGACCTTTCATGATTTTGGTTGCCCTTCTCTGGACATGCTCCAGCTTGTCAATATTCTTCTTGAATTGTGGTGCCCAGAACATGACACAATATTCCAGGTGAGGCCTGACCAAACCAGAATAGAGTGGCACTATTTCTTCCGTCACTCATTCTAAACAATATAGTTCTATTGATGGAGCCTAGAATTGCATTGACTTTTTGGGGCTGCTGCATTTCAGCATTTCCTCCTTTTCCAAAATGTGTCCCCTTTCCTTTCCTGTGCCCCTCTCAGATAGGTGGGGTTACAACTCACATCATCCCCAACCAACATGGCCACTATACAAAATGATGAAAAAAACAATTCTACATATTTTGAAACCTTGGCTGTAGTAGGCCACCAAGGAGCTGCCATTTTAAAATTTCCATCATGCTGCTAACAGAAAAAGAAATCTGTAAGTAACCCAAGAGGGTGGGAAACCTCTGTAAAACTCAAATCAGGAATGACCACAGGTGACACACGAGATTTGGGGATGCATGCATGAGGGAAAAGAAGAACAAATAAACCATCACTTTCTGAAATGGGAATCTCCTTCAAGGTCTTGCAGTTATTGCATAACCTGAACTCTGTCCCCTAGGAAAAGGGCCTGGGAACAACCCAGAGCATATGACAAGGCCTATTTAGTGTGACTGACAGAGTTACGGTACATCACACAAAAGATTAGCAAGCAAAATGCTCAAAATTTCTGGACAGGAGTGACTACTGGGAGGAGACTGAGAACAGATTAAAGTGTAGGAGAGAGACAATTGCTGTGTAGTAGGACACATAGGAAGGTGGGAATTGTGTGGGCCATCTCTGGCTCTTCTGTGTTTGCCAATTTCCTCTCTGAAGACCACAGTTGTTATTTGCCTTCAATATATGACGATCCTATGAATGAAAGATTTCCAAGATCCCTGGTGATCCAAAGCCTTACTTAGTTCTTGCAAACTCAGGGCATCCAGTTTCCATGATGGCAGTCAATCTACCTGGATTGTACTATGCTCTCCCTCTTTTCCTACTGCCTTCCACTTCCAGCAGCAGTATCATCTTTTCCAGTGAGTCATGTCATCTCACAATATGTCCAGAGTACAACAGGCTAATTTTATAAAGCATACTTATACGGTTGTGGGAATGGGATAGAATGTAATAGGACCCAGTGTAGTCCTTGTGGCTTCTAGGAAGAGTTCAAGGCTTGATCTGCTTACAGACCTATGCATTTGCTTTTAGCAGGCCATGGTATCTGCAGAATGTTCCTCCAGTACTTTTCAAATTGGCCCATGTTCTTCCTGCCAGCTTGATTTACCATCCAGCTTTCATACCATACATAGAAATCAGATTCGAAATGGCTAATTTTTCAGTATTTGAGGAAGGATAAACTTGTCTATTGCTATTCCAAAAGGCAAATATCTAAAGTGCTCCAGCTACAGGAGAGTAGGTTTTAGTTGGACAATAGAAGACCCAACAGCCACAGCAGTTTGAAAAGGAACCAAAGATACACAACAACTTCCATCTGTAATGCAGTCTTTTTCTTACTGCCTTCCATTTTACCAGGCATTATCTTTTCCAAATAATCATGTTGCAGCAGTGTCTGCTGCAATAAAGCTTGAGCTGAGAAGCAACAGAATTCTACTCAAGGTGAGCCACATGCTTTCCCTGACAGCCAGCGTGCTGTAGTGATTTAAGTGCTGGATTATGACTCTGAAGACCAAGTTTTGATTCCCAGCTCAGCCATCAAACCCACAGGGTCACATTCTCTCAGCCTCAAGGGAAGGCAATGGCAAACCTCTTCTGAACAAATCTTGCCAAGAAAACCTCATCAGTTCACCTTAGAGTTGCCATAAGTTGGAAACGACTTGAAGGCACACAACAAGGCTTTTCTTATCTGGTTATTTCATTTCACATGTGCATATTGTTAATTTTGGATAAAAAGCTGTTGAAACATTAAGTTATCTCTATTCTTTGTTATTTCTGGCTCTGGTACCAAATTTTCTCTTAAAGAAGTAATGCTCAGGAATGTATCTATCTCAGTAACTGAGGTATACTTGTCATTTGTAAAGCATGACCACTGCAAAACTTTAATAATGCCCAGTCTTTCCCCATCTTCAAATTCCATTAAATATTAAGGGTGCAACACAAGTGTGGCTCAAGCAATCTTTATTTTGTGTTTATTTTTAAACCATGTTTAAAAGTTTCTTTTTTTTTTAATACAGGTAACTTAAATGAGGTGGTAAGACAGGTCTACGCATCACCCCTTCTCCCTTCCCAACACACTCTTTCACAACACGCATACAGGAGGTGTGTATTTTTCTGTTTGTAATGCTTTTGACTCTCCTTTTTGCTCTTATATAGACTTAAAAAATAATAATCACAAACCAATTTTTAAAAAAAGAAAGAAAGGACCAACCGACTTCCCCCAAGATGAGAGGTGGTTGGGGGTGGGGAAAGAAATGGATATCTTGGGAGAATATACAGGCATACACACACGCCATACAAAAAAAAGTAGCACATTTAAATACATAATTTTTAAAAAATTAAAAACCTTCTACAACATCACATACAAAGGAATTTCACATGGGGGAAACAACAGGAAGTGTAAGGACACAATTTAACCAGAGGAGGCGTAATTATTCTAACTCCCCAGGTTGGCAAAAGACTACTATCAAGAAGTTCCATTAAAAAAAGACACAGGTGGATGCAGATTTTGGTAGCAGCTAGGGAGGGTTGAGGTGGTGCTGAGTGCGAGATATTTGAAAAATAGACAAAAGTCGAGTCATGTTGTGGGATGGAGGTGGATCCTTGTTAACCTTGGGCTAGGAATTATTAATTTCTAAAATCACTTTACAGGTCTACCAAAATAGCCTTCTGCTGTCCTTAGGGTTATTCTTTTAGGTCAGATCTTCACATATTTGCAGGCTGCTCAAGTCTTCCTTTCTAAAGATGGATGCATTAATTCACCAAACAGATCAGATGCAGATCAATATCTGGGATTCTGCCCAACTGAGAGGGTTCAAATCCCTTGGACTTCAAAATTATTTCAAACCATAGCCTAGCTACTATGACAGCTTGCAAGAACCCCCCGTTTGGTTTGCAAAACTAGAGTAGTGTGTTTCAAGCAAAGTTCCCTCCTTCCAACACACTCTAGTTGTATGATTTTTTTAAAAACTGAGTGGCTGAAGTATTATGTGAAAGGACAAATAACCCTTACCAAAGAGTATGACATACTTTTGATAGGTATATGTCCATGCCTTTCTTAGTCACGATAACATTTTCATAGCAGTAGCTGGGAATTAGATAACCAATATAAGAATTGGTATCATTTCTCAAAAGGTCATCTAGATACAGTGGTTCCCAAATTTTGGTCCTCCAGCTATTTTGAACTTCAACTCCCAGAAGCCCTTGCCAGCTTGGTCAATGGGAATTCTGGGAACTGCTGTGAAAAACATTTGGAAACCAAGGTTTGAGAATCACTGATTTAGATCACAGTGGCAATCACACGCCTTGTAAAATGTTGGGCATTTTTCACCATGGACAAAGGCATTCTTTAAATTGGCACCTCACTAACAAAATGGGTATACTGTATATGCATTTAAGGTTTTTTTTTCCCCAGGGTAGGTGGGTGGGATAAGAAAATTTCATTAAGTATTGCCCTTTGCAGACTGCTAGAAATAGTGCAAATTGAGTCCATTTTAACTGCCCTGGCTCAGTGCTAGGGAATCATGGGAATTATATTTTTTTCTGAGACATTGAGCCTTCTCTGTCAGAGAGCTCTGGTGCCACAATAAACTACAGTTCCCATGATTCCCTAGCACTGAGTCAGGGCAGTTAAAGTGGACTCAATTTGCACTATTTCTGGCAGTCTGCAAAGGCCCTATGTTGAGGAAAATGAATGAAGCAGCTCTAAAATTAAAACCAGACCCAAGTAGAACAACTAAACAGGGGCAAAAGATGCCCACATCCAGAGCAAAGGTCCTCCTGGGCCACAGTTTTTTACCAGCATCCTTATTAGTCTGAGCTACCAAGACGTGGTGGGCAGAGTTAACAGGATCTATCAAAGGATGCCAGGAAGACAATT